AGCTACTCAGAGGCTAAGATCTAAGGATCACAGTTCAGAGCCAGCCTGGGCAGGAAAGTCTGTGAGACTCTTATCTCCAATAATCCACTAGAAAACAGGAAGTGGCACTGTGGCTTAAGTGGTAGAGTGCTCACCTTGAGCTAAACAGCAAAGGGACAGTGCCCAAGCCCAGATTTCAAGCCCCAGGACAACAAAACTCAAAAGATAAAGCATGTCAGTCAGGCATTATGAGTCCACATGTTCCACCTTTATGCCTATTAAAGATCATTGAACATTGAGGGTGTGAAGACAATAATAAAAAGTTAAGGTGGTGATTTGGTATCAAGCAAGATGAAATGCACAACAAAGGAAATTTGGGAATCATTTATCCATTTTCTTTATCTATAGGAGCCTCCCCATCCAAAGCCATTACAGGTAAAATATATTTTACTTAATTGAGAACAAACAAAGGTAACTGCTGTCAACATCAAAATCTCACCTCCATGAATAAAAGAAATAACATTTTTCCCCTGGACAGTACTGAATATCAAACTCAGGGCACCTAGTCTATATGCTTTCAGGTTGTTCTTCAGATACATTCTAGTACTAACATTCTTAGGCTGGTTTCAGACAGAGATCCTCTTACTACGACCTTTTAAGTAGCCAAAATTACAGGCATGCACAACCATACCCATCCCAATAAAATGATTTCATATTCTAGCTGAGTGCCCATGAACCATACCTATAGTACTAGCTACTCAGGAGGTAGGGATTTGAGGAAACTGATTTGAAGCCAGCCTGGGCGGAAAAGTCAGAGGGACTCTTAACTATCAAAAAGCTGGAAGTTAAATTGTAGTTCAAGTGGTAAAGTGTTAATCTTAAGCAAAAAAAACATCTCAAGGACAGCGTCCAGGCCCAGAGTTCAAGCCCCAAGACTGGTGTGTGCATGCATGCATATTTACAGACACACACACACACACACACACACACACACACACACACGCACGCACACACACACACACACACACACACACACACACACATGCACACAGAGTAATTTCAAATACTTTGATTCCTTGGGTGGGCAATGTAGTTCAGTGTAGACTACCTGCTCAGGATTTGTGAAGTTCAGCTATTTAAAATGAAGTCAGGAAGAGTCCATACTGGGGAGGAAAAGGGGCCAAGGGAGGGAGAAGAACATCTTTTCATAGGCTGAGTCACAGGGCCTTGTCCTAAGGCAGGGGTCCAAAGTCAAGGACAAACCAGAGGAGAAAACAAAAGGACATATGGTTCGAAGAGCACAAGGGAAGTCTTCTAAACCACAAAAATAAACACATACATTTACTAGATGTTTCTTTCCAATGAGGTCTCTAAAAGGCTCTTGCATGAACATCACACTGAGGTGAGCAAGCCCCATTGTGAAAGTGCATCTAGCTCTGGCGGATTTGAGAGGAATTCAAGCAGAAGAAAATCACAGGCATAAAAGTTCATCAGCCTAGGCATAAAAGTTTGCTGGACTCCATCTCAACCAATGGCTGTGCATGGAGGCTCATGCCTATCATCCCCAATGACAAGGAAAAGTATAGGCAGTCGAACAGGCCATCCAGGATATAAAATGAGATGCTACTTTGGAAATAACTAATGTAAAAAGCAGGTAGAAGTATAGACAAGTGGTCTAGCACCGGCCTATCAAGCACAGTTTTGAGTTTAATCCTCAGAAGAGGGAATGGGGGAGAGAAGGAGGAAAGGAAAAAGGGAGGAAGAAAGGAGTGAAAAAGGGAAGGAAGGAAGGAAGGAAGGAAGGAAGGAAGGAGAGAGAAGAGGGAAAGGAAAATTAAACCATGAGTTCTATGTCATCTGGATATTTTTTTTCCCTAATAAACTTTTGGGCAGAGCATAATGGCTCAAACCTGTAATCTCAGAAAAACGGGAGGTTGAGATCAGTAGGATCACAATTCAAGACTAATCATCCCCCCACCCCCATCTCTACAAAAAAGCCATGCATGAAAGCTCATGGCTCTAAATCCAGAGACCAGCAAGGTATAGATAATAGAATCATAGTCTGGTTTGGTACCAAAAACCAAACCAAAAGAAAACAAAAAAAAATAAGACTCCATCTGAAAAATAACTACAAACAGGAGAAGCTGGGGATGTCACTCATGTGTGAGAGCCCTTGACTTGCCTCATCTCTCCGAAAATGAGGCTTTAATTTCAAACTCTGGTCCTGCCAATAAATACATAAATTAAAATGAACTTAATTTTGCCAATAATCAAAGATTTGTGTGTCGTTTATGAAATGATGCAGAGACACTCTGACCCCTTTTCAACAGTTACAAAGCTCAGAAGGATATGTATGCCTTATAAACAAACAAACAAACAAAAAGCACCCAAACCTGACTTTCTCCAGGCAGACTAACTAAATTAATCACTGAGGAAGTTAGCAACTAGAAAATTATGGCATATTTTTTATGTCTATTTTTTGTCGGTCATGGGGCTTAAACTCCGGTCCTGGTGCTGTCCCTAACCTCTTCAACTCTACCACTTCAGCCATAGTGCCACTTCTGGTTTTCTGGTGGTTTACTGAAGAAAAGAGTCTGGCTTTCCTGCTCAGGCTGGCTTTGAACTGTGATCCTCAGATCTCAGACTCCTGAGTAGCTAGGATTACAGGCATGAGCCACTGGCACCCAGCAAATTATGGCATTTTTAAGACTGAAAAAAAATTAAGAGGATTCTAGATCTATTTTTTTAATTGAAAACTACTACTAACTGAATTTCTACCCAAGTTTGTGAAATTTTGATACTCTTTCAAGAGATCAAAAATCCATGGTCTTCTTTCAAATTGTATGCAATGGGCTGTCACTTTTTTTTATTAAAAAAAAAAAAACCCTCCTAGAGAAAAACCTTAAGGGACTTCCGAGAGATGCCTCATCAAGTATTACATCAGGAATAACTCAGTGGTAAGTACAGTTGAGAGAGGTAATGGGAATTGATTTCTGCTTTTCTAGACACTGTGCTTTCTGAACAGAGACAGATGTGTTTGAACCTGCCTGGCTGTGCTCTAAAACCAGGAACTTGCACTCCGATCAGCCACAGGTTGTGGATTACTCTAGGAAGCCAGCGGAGTGACAGAGATTGATAATCAGCTTCTGGAAGGCCAAGGTCATGAATCAACTTACACCAAGTGAGCCCTCCAACATGTCTAAAGCCTTTCACTGGTGATAGCAAGCTGAAAGCTGTCACTGAAACGTGTTATCTTTGCAGAAGGCTGACAAGCATTGCCAGCGAAGTAGAAAACCCTATCAAGGCTTTCCCTCCGGGCAGACTTCCAGAAGGAGGCACTGAAGTGGCACTTGCCTTCAAAACGCTGGTCACACCTAGTGTGGCAGGGCTCTCACTGTCCATTACATTCAGATGCTCTCTACAGCAAAGCTCTCCAAAAAGATGCCACCATTTGGTCTAGGGCGCAAAATCACTGACAGACAATGGATTGTGACCAGAGACGTAAAATGTATACTGAGGGATGGGGGAGAGCGGGGATGACAAATGACACAAATAGCCTTGGTGATACACAATTTTGTCAGAATAGCTACTCCACTGGGTAAATCGAGATACAGGAGAGAGAAGCCAGCTATGACACACGGGAGAGCAATTCATGGAACATTGGGAGAAATAGCTCAAAGCTAGCAAGCACAGCACAGGCCAAAGGACAAGCTTGTACAAAGGAGACTGGCTAGCTCGAAGCAATCACCAGGAGCAATCTCAGACAGATGCGCATCTGGACAAAGGAAAAGCATCCCTAGAGCTCCCTGTGTTACCAGTAGGTTTCAAGGAAAGGTAACTCTGGGAGCCACTGCATGTTGCTTTGGCCCCAGGAAACAAGGATCTGGAAGTGACCTTCCAGGCTACAAAAAAGAAGAAAGAAAAGAAAAGAAAGCAAGGAAAAGTCAGGAAGGGAGGGAGAGGAAAAAGAGAAAGGAGGAAGGGGAGGAAGAAAGAGAGAGGGAGGAGAAAGAGAGCTGCTTTTAATGGAATATAGTCATCAGTAGTTAAAGAAGAAGATCAGAAAAATACCCTTTAGGCATCTGTAAGCAAGGATGTAATACACAGCCTGGAGTTTATTGGCTTCCTTCCCATTAACACTGATAGAAAGATATGCTATATATTCACAAATCCCCAAATGAGGAATGAGGGTAAGGAAAGGATTAAGCAGTTGGATTGATATACAAAAGGACAAAAGGGTTAATCTTCACTCTGATAGGATAGGAAATATAGTGAAAGCAACATCTCAAAGAAGCTAAGAATTTTAGTTTAGCCTGCATACAGGGCACAGTGCTAGAGGACAGAACCCTATCCAGGCTAACTGACAAACTAACCACAAGGGATATATCGCTGCAGCGCTTTGGAAATACACCAGGAACAACAGAGGGACAGAAATTCTATTTGTTTGTTTGTTTACTGTTGCCAGTCCTGGGGCTTGAACTCAATCCTGGGTACTGTCTTTGAGCTTTTTCTGCTCAAAGCCAGCCATCTACCACTTGAGCCAAAGTTTCACTTCCAGCTCTTGAGTAGTTTACTGAATGTTAAGTGTCCCACAGGCTTTCCTGCCTGGGTTAGCTTCAGACTACAATTTTCAGATCTTAGCCTTCTGAGTAGCTAGGATTAAAGGTGTAAGTCACAGGCACTCAGCTTTCTTATTTACTTTTTAAATAAAAACTTAAATTTAAATAAAACCACAGGGGATAGTAGTGACCATATTGCTAGATTCCATTCTCTGCACTTTAAAATCGATGAACACATTGCAACCCTACAAGGTAGATACTATTTCATTATCTACATTTTAAATATTTCTCAAAAATAGAGTCACAGAGTAGTTGAGTAATTTGTTCCAAGTCATACAGTTGCTTTATCAAGCCAAAGGCTGAATGAAAACAATATGTTTGTTTCTAAGGAGCAAGACAGGGAAAAGCAAACCATCAAAGGTATTCCAAAATGTTTCACGTTGAGATAAAAATTGGGTCTACCTGTTTTCCCAGTGTTTTTCATCCAGGTTTTGTTAGAAGATTCATTGTCAAAGCCATCAAGCTGCAGTTCCTGGTATTCTTCACCGACACGAGCATGATGATCCACAATGTCTATAGGAGACTGATGACGGCCCCCACAGCTGACACTAGATGTAACCCAGTGCTCAGGACCATATGCGCCTGTTGACAGAAAAGAAGGCAACGTTCAATCCTCAGGGCAAGGGGTGGAAGAACATCTCCCAACATGTCCCATTCCAAAGAGGTAAGCACAGTCCTAGGGGTCAATGTATTTCATAAAGCAGTGTCACTTCTTGATTTGTTATCAAACCATTAGCTAACTTAACTTTTAATCAAATTCAGAGAGCTATGAAGAAGGGCTGGCAAGAGTAGTTCACATTTTTTTGGGGGGTTGGTGGAGGGGGGTTGGTCATGGGGCTTGAACTCTGGGCCTGAGCACTGTCCCTCAGCTCTTCAGCTCAAGGCAAGTGCTCTACCACTTGAGCCACAATGCCACTTCCAGTTTTCTGGTGGTTTATGGGGATAAGAGTCTCATAGCCTTTCCTGCCCAGGCTGGATTTGAACTGCGATCCTCAGATCTCAGCCTCCTAAGTAGCTAGGATTATAGGCGTGAGCCACTGGTGCCCAGCTTAGTTCACATTTAAAAAAAATTATATTTAAATTAAACAAGTTTCCCCAAATAAGCAGAGCATTTATTCATAAGAAAGTGACGGTGGAGGTGGGGGATGGGAAGGGATGGGAAGGGAAAACAAAGGAGGAGGCAGCAATGCTTGATAAGAAATTACTCATTATCTTGCCCATGTAATTGTAACCCCTCTATACCGTATTTTCTCAATTAAAAAAAAAAGAGAAAGTGACTTAAGTGATTTAGTATGTTCCTTATTGGGAATGATATCCTAAATACAACTTTCTTCTTAGCTCACAGGAGTCTGTGAACCGGAAAAGGAAAGAAAAACAACCTGAAAAATATTGTACAAAATGGATGTGATTCATGAAAAACTATGGAGAAAAATGAGGCATATTTTTCTCTGACTAATTTTGGAAGGCTTCTCAGTGTGTCCAGAGTTGGTACTTATGAATGTTAAGGGGGCTCACATCTCTCTTTCCATCCCTCTCTTTCTTAGAGATCGCTTGCAGGGGTTGACTCAGGACTCAAACAAATAAAGACTTGGGGAAGAGGGGAAAGGGGGGGATACATCACAGAAACAACCATGGAATGTTATTCTGATGGTCCCCCATAAGAGATCAGCACAAAAAAAAACCCTACATTTACTTCTCTGACCCACTTGGAAACACAAAACTACAGGGGCAATAGCAGCTCCATAGATAACAACCAAGAACAAAGAACAATTTTTATGAAAAGATTTAGCTCCATTTTCTTTTGAGAATTAGGTATAGAGGAAAAAGAACACAGTTGTGTACTGGCAACCTCAGGGCACAGTTAAGTCCGTTGTGAGTGCCAGAATACTGACTAGAAAAAGGGAATATCACCATTGCCATTATTAGTAGGACTCCAGCTAAATTAGGAAATGTCAACCAACTTAGAAAATGTCAAGGCTTTTTACTCATGGTGTTTTAACTCTTGCTCAAATTCCCAAAGACTAACACGAGTTAGTCTTAAAGGGTCAGAATGTGTGTTTCCATATGTGTTTAGTCAAGCTTTATTTTCATCGTTTGTATCTTTGAGGAAGCAAAGGGAGAAGACGCAGCATTATGATTGGTACAATCACTCACTTTAAATTGACTATCAGATGCCAAAAGAATCCACTGAGAAATGGCAGAGAGAGAGAGAGAGAGAGAGAAAGAGAGAGAAAATATGGATAAACCAGATACAAATTTTGATCAGCTAGAAATGAGTTCAATATGTGAAAACTAATACTTAAATGTTATGTTTATGTGTGTTTGTACCTTCTAGAAACCTACAAGTACCATAAAGTCACACCCAATGGAAATAAATGCAATGGGTAAAATAATACAAACATGCATAACAGAAATACACGCACGTATATAATACTAACGCATATGACTCCAAAGAAATAATAATGGGAAGCCATCATTTGTCAACACACAGATACTTATAGTTAATGGTACTAATAAAAAATTACTCTGCAAAATCATAAAAAGTACTCGGCATTCCTATTTCCCTTCTCACAATCTTCCAGAGGTGGGTGAAACATAATTTAGCACTCTATAATAATATAATCAGAGTCTTTACTAGTGGGATTCATTTATTCGCTGGTAACAATCTGAAGATTTAAGCTAACTACATGCTTGCTTTCACACTTCTACCCAATATACGTTTCAAGTGCAATTTTAATTGAAACTGATCTTCCACTTCAGACTTTAAATTAATTCTTCTTTGGAGTGCTTCATGCTCCAGACACCCTTGCCTTGCAACTCCCCGCCCCCTCTACCCCCTTCATGTCATTAGTGGAGGAAATAGAACACTTTTCCCAGGCTTGCAGATATTGATTACCTATTCTCACATCGAAGCACCATTTCCATCCCACATTGTATAAATCTCTCTGGTGTTAAGACACTTTATAAAAGGACTCAGAATTATATCATTAATCATCTGCAGTTGCACAAAGTCTTGCAGTCTTGAATGCTTTTTCAGAATTTTGCATAAATGTACCCAAGTAAAACACATGGTACTAAATAAAGACTATGGGTAGCTTAAACCTAGCTGCGAGTGAAACAAAAAGAAACCACAAAACCCCAAAATAATCACCAAGAAGCTTCCTCATACACCACTGCCCATCTAAAATAAGAAGGAGAAATCATTTACACTTTCATTTCCTCTTATTGAATCTGTCTTAGAATGAGCAAGATATTTGCATTTTCGTAGCTCCATGAATTAGGAAGAGCTCACTAACTCTGAAATCAACAGCTCACATACAAGGCCAAATTCATTCTCAAAAGGGAAAGGGGAGGGCAGAGGTAGAAACCATAGGGTGGTTGGGTCTGTCTAAAGTACTTTCCCATTCAACTGTTAAAAGTCTTAGAGATAGAATCAGAAGAAGACATCCTACCAACCAGTAGAGACCTGGGGCATCCAACACTACTTCCTCATTCAGCCTGTGCTGAAAAATGTTTTCCTTTTATTAATGTTAGGAACGCAATAGAAATCCCAGGCTTGATCGCGCCAACCCTTTGTCACAAATGTACTATCCTGTCACTGGTTTCTCAGATTCCTCTGGGAATTATTATGACGACTGCGATTTATTGTTTTTCCCTAAATATCTGTCGTTTCCACTATTGGTTAATGCTAAAAGACTTCAGTTTATATCAATACCTAGCACAGGGTTCTCCATCAAACAAGGTCCCTAAAGTGTATTTATGGGAACAAATAAATGACATGGATTTAAGAGATGAAAGAGGGGGAAAATTCATATTTTAACAGAACCATGCATGTTACATTTGTCTGTTGTGCTTGAATTTTAGTTTTACTCATCTGCTAACTCTTTAATAAGTCTTCCTGACTTGCTTCCTCTCTAGAGTGCTGCTGCCAATTTCGGAAGTAAATACTTCTTTTCTTCATTACTACATTCAATTAATCTGAACTGTAACAAGGTAAGCTATGCTGTGAATATGTGATACGCATGAACAATTCTGTGTGCAAGCCGACCAAGGGCCAGTGCAATTTTTTTAAGCAGAGGTGCAACAGAATCTTTGCTCTGATGCCCTTTGTGATGTACTATTTTCGAGCCTCTCTTATTTTTCATATGCTTTAGCAGACTTCTCTGCTGAAAGATTATCAATGGAGAAGAAATTTGGTTTTATTAATCAAGCTACAATATTTTTTGCATTTAAATACTTATTCACAGAGAGTGGGTACTATGGAGCCAGGCTGCTGGGGACAGGCAGTGGAAAGGGGTCATTGGACAGTTGAAGCTGCCTGGGGCTAAGAGATACTCAAAAGGTGGTTAACTGGACTCCTGTCTGTGTAAGTACTTACTAGAGTATCAGACATGTTTGGTATGACTTTGTTCTTGGTAACCAAAATATAGAGCAGGCTTTCAAAGAAACTATACAATGGAGGAAAATGATAGGGAGCCCAAGCAAGGGCTAAGCAAGGTGGATGCAAGTATTTCGTGGTACTCGGGAGCAAAAGACCCTCACCTTCTCTAGAACAAAGAGTACAGAGACGGGACACTAGAGTGGCATAAACTCCTGAACTTCAGAGACATTAACTGAATCTTGGGCATCTCGTGTAGGCTCCTCACTTGTTTTAACACTGAGTGTTAAAGGTTAACCCTTTTCAGAAGTGAGCTTTACCCCTGCTTCACCTGGTTCAGAGACTTTAATTGTCAAAAATTAAGAAGGGGAAGATCAAAACAGTAATTACATAATAGAGATGCCCAGCAAAGCGATTTCTGCCCAGTGAAGAGGTTAACATCACCTGTAATAGTATGGGCTACAAGGTCACCCTGACTGGATATGGTAAGGACATGTCCTCTCTGTGGTCTTGCAAACTTCCATGATCTCCAGTCAAATCACACAAACCCAACTGACACCAATCCCACAAAATATATAACCAAAGGAGACTAAGCTATGACAATCAATGTAATGTGTCAATTATGTTGTATATTATATTAATGTAATATATAACATGTTAACATGTCATATAACATACAACATATCATATTAATATACTTAATATATGATACATAATATACCAATATATAGCATATATAGTAATAAAATGTTACATATTACATTAATATAATATATAATACATATAGGTGAATTACATATATTTTATAATATTACATATAAATATATTTAAACTATATACATAGTTATAAAATATATGTATTATATATAATGTGTTAATTAACAAGATTGTTTGCCAGGACCAAAAATGGGAAATACAAAGAAAACATGCGTTCTGAATACAATTTAGAGTTCAGTGAGTAGTAGGCTTATACCAGTTTTGGATGTTTAGCTGGTGTTGACAAATAGCTCATTCTTTTGACCCCCAAATGAAAAAATATTATACACAACAGTAATAAAATCCAACATAATCACAAATGAAACCCAGTTCTCTTAAAGGGGTTAAAACATAATGTTCAGTGTTGTCTGGATTTTCTGGGGGTCACTTGGGGTCATGTCCCTGGCAACCAAAGGAGGGAGACGCACACTGATGTATACTGTTGGGC